TTCTAGCTACTAGTAGCTTCTTGTTACTACAGGTGAAACGATTCCCAGTGAAACGATTCCCAAAGAAACGTCTAGCTACTAGTAGCTTCTTGCTACTACAGGTGAACCGTTTCCCAGTGAATCGATTTGCAAGGAAGCTTCTAGCTACTAGTAGCTTCTTGTTACTACAGGTGAACCGATTCCCAATGAAACGATTCCCAAGGAAGCTTCTAGCTACTAGTAGCTTCTTGTTACTACAGGTGAACCGATTCCCAGTGAAACGATTCCCAAAGAAACGTCTAGCTACTAGTAGCTTCTTGTTACTACAGGTGAAACGATTCCCAAGGAAGCTTCTAGCCACTAGTAGCTTGTTGCTACCACAGGTGTAACGATTCCCAGTGAAACGATTTCCAAGGAAGCTTCTAGCTACTAGTAGCCTCTTGCTTCTACAGGTGAAACGATTCCCAGTGAAAGGATTCCCAAGGAAGCTTCTAGCTACTAGTAGCTTCTTGTTAAAGGTGAAACGATTCCCAGTGAAACGATTCCCAAGGAAGCTTCTAGCTACTAGTAGCTTCTTGTTACTACAGGTGAAACGATTCCCAGTGAGACGACTCGCAAGGAAGCTTCTAGCTACTAGTAGCTTCTTGTTACTACAGGTGAACCGATTCCCAGTGAAACGATTCCCAAGGAAGCTTCTAGCTACTAGTCGCTTCTTGTTACTACAGGTGAAACGATTCCCAGTGAAACGATTCCCAAGGAAGCTTCTAGCTACTAGTAGCTTCTTGTTACTGGGGGGAACCGATTCCCAGTGAAACGAGTTCCAAAGAAACGTCTAGCTACTAGTAGCTTCTTGCTACTACAGGTGAAACGATTCCCAGTGAAACGATTCCCAAGGAAGCTTCTAGCTACTAGTAGGTTCTTGTTGCTACAGGTGAAACGACTCCCAGTGAAACGATTCCCAAGGAAGCTTCTAACTAGCAGCTTCTTGTTACTACAGGTGAACCGATTCCCAGTGAAACGATTCCCAAGGAAGCTTCTAGCTACTAGTAGCTTCTTGTTACTACAGGTGAAACGATTCCCTAGGAAGCTTCTAGCTACTAGTAGCTTCTTGTTACTACAGGTGAAACGATTCCCAGTGAAACGATTGCCAAGGAAGCTTCTAGCTACTAGTAGCTTCTTGCTAACCGATTCCCAGTGAAACGATTCCCAAGGAAGCTTCTAGCTACTAGTAGCTTTTTGTTACTACAGGTGAACCGATTCCCAAGGAAGCTTCTAGCTACTAGTAGCTTCTTGCTACTACAGGTGAAACGATTCCCAGTGAAACGATTCCCAAGGAAGCTTCTATTATCTTTTAGCTACTAGTAGCTTCTTGTTACTACAGGTGAACCGATTCCGAGTGAAACGATTCCCAAGGAAGCTTCTAGCTACTAGTAGCTTCTGGTTACTACAGGTGAACCGATTCCCAGTGAAACAATTCCCAAGTAAGCTTCTAGCTACTAGTAGCTTCTTGTTACTGCAGGTGAACGGATTCCCAGTGAAACGATTCCCAAGGAACCTTCTAGCTTCTAGTAGCTTCTTGTTACTACAGGTGAACCGATTCCCAGTGAAACGATTCCCAAGGAAGCTTCTAGCTACTAGTAGCTTCTTGTTGCTACAAGTGAACCGAATCCCAGTGAAATGATTCGCAAGAAAGCTTCTAGCTACTAGTAGCTTGTTGTTACTACAGGTGAACCGATTTCCAGTGAAACGATTCCCAAGGAAGCTTCTAGCTACTAGTAGCTTCTTGTTACTACAGGTGAAACGATTCCCAAGGAAGCTTCTAGCTACTAGTAGCTTCTTGTTACTACAGGTGAACCGATTCCCAGTGAAACGATTCCCATGGAAGCTTCTAGCTACTAGTAGCTTCTTGTTACTACAGGTGAACCGATTTCCAGTGAAACGATTCCCAAGGAAGCTTCTAGCTACTAGTAGCTTCTTGTTACTACAGGTGAACCGACTCCCAGTGAAACGATTCCCAAGGAAGCTTCTAGCTGCTAGTAGCTTCTTGTTGCTACAAGAAAGCAATTCCCAGTGAAACGATTCCCGAGAAAGCTTCTAGCTACTAGTAGCTTCTTGTTACTACAGGTGAAACGATTCCCAGTGAATGGATTCCCAAGGAAGCTTCTAGCTACTAGTAGCTTCTTGTTACTACAGGTGAAACGATTCCCAGCAAAACGATTCCCAAGAAAACTTCTAGCTACTAGTAGCTTCTTGTTACTACAGGTGAACCGATTCCCAGTGAAACGACTCCCAAAGAAGCTTCTAGGTTCACCGATTCCCAGTGAAACGATTCCCAAGGAAGCTTCTAGCTACTAGTAGCTTGTTGCTACCACAGGTGTAACGATTCCCAGTGAAACGATTCCCAAGGAAGCTTCTAGCTACTAGTAGCTTCTTGTTACTACAGGTGAAACGATTCCCAAGGAAACTTCTAGCTACTAGTAGCTTCTTGTTACTACAGGTGAACCGATTCCCAGTGAAACGATTTCCAAGGAAGCTTCTAGCTACTAGTAGCTTCTTGTTACTACAGGTGAAACGATTCCCAGTGAAACGATTCCCAAGGAAGCTTCTTGCTACCAGTAGTCTCTTGTTACTAGAGGTGAACCGCTTCCCAGTGAAACGATTCCCAAGGAAGCTTCTAGCTACTAGTTGCTTCTTGTTACTACAGGTGAAGCGATTCCCAGTGAAACGATTCCCAAAGAAGTTTCTAGCTACTAGTAGCTTCTTTTTACTACAGGTGAAACGATTCCCAGCGAAACGATTCCCAAGGAAGCTTCTAGCTACGAGTAGCTTCTTGTTACTACAGGTGAACCGATTCCCAGTGAACCGGTTCCCAAGGAAGCTTCTAGCTACTAGTAGCTTCTTGTTACTACACGTGCAACGATTCCCAGTGAAACGATTCCCAAGGAAGCTTCTAGCTACTAGTTAGCTTCTTGTTGCTACAAGAAAGCAATTCCCAGTGAAACGATTCCCAAGGAAACTTCTAGCTACTAGTAGCTTCTTTTTACTACAGGTGAAACGATTCCCAGCGAAACGATTCCCAAGGAAGCTTCTAGCTACTAGTAGCTTCTTGTTACTACA